GCTTCTAGTGTACTACTCTTCGACGGGACCTCCATTGATGTGGCGCGGTAGCGACTCCACAGAGCGGTTTCATAGCCCAAAAAGAATGTTCGAGTTCAAGTATTTAAACATTTATATACTATTCATGGCTTTCGTATTATCTACTTTGCTTGCGAAGCCCTGCAGTGTGGTAAATAATATGACAGTAAAACAATATACGGCAATACATACGATATAATATGCACTTTTGTATATTGTGACAATAATACGCAAGCTGCCATATTGTCACAATACAATACGCAGTTCTTTGTATTGGCAATATATTGTTTATATTGGTAAATCTTTTCAGAAAGAAAATTTGACCATTCTATCGGGGTCCCAAGATTCGCGTTTGGCGATGCTAATGACGCCACCAAATAACAGCGCCATAACAAAAAAAAGAAAAAAATAAGAAAAAAAGACAGCAAAGGGACGTGTACGCGTCCTATTGGCGAGTTAGTTTTTGACAACCCCTTAGTTCTAGCTTCTCTTTACGGGCAACTCGCGCCACCATCAACGCCGATGTGTTGACGGAAGCTGGAGAAGATCTCGACACGCACGACAAAAAGCTGTAAGAACCACCACCTTAAATACATTATTCTCGGAACGGAATGTGTCGTGAAACTTGCAGTGTCCTCGTCTCCAGACATTCTCGAACGCTTCGCAATCATAAAGAAAGAGGCTAAGTCAAATCGAAATCATAGTGTCTCAGGCTCCCTCCATGCTTTCCCACACTATTAACATGGGCTCTATTGCTCCGTCTTTCTTTCGCCGAGGCCGATCCTAACCAGCAGCCCTAGCTCTCCAATTGGGTCGAATCTTCAGTGGACAAAATAAAGATAAACAGGCCGAGGAAGTGTATCAGATTGCGCTTCAGGACTTCGCGGCGACGTTGACCGACTGGGACACGACTGCGACTCTTCTCCGGGAATATATTTTGATGGTCACACGGCGCGGCAACATATGTGAAGCCAAAACGACATACTACCGTGTGATTCGGAATTTTATACTCAGGCTGGGGCGGTCTCATGAGGCAACCCTTCTCTTGATCTACGAGACCGGGAATGCGCTTTGGGCAAGCGGCGCTTTCTCCGAGGCCGAGAAAGTCTACCAGGAGGCTGTATTCGACCTCGACAGTCGCAGGCAGAAGAACAATGCTGTTTTACTCCATGTGATGGACAAACTTGGCATTGTGTACATGCAGCGAGGACGGTGGAAAGACGCAGAAGATATGCACCACGCCGTATTGAAAGGGTATTTGTATACATATACATACCAGAACAATTTTCATCCTAATGTCAGTGCCGTTGTTCTCAATCTAGCACCTGCCCTGCGTGCGCAGGGGAGGCTCGAAGATGCAGCCCAGATGCTCCAGTGGGGATCCTCTGGCCTCCAACAAGCATTTGGGTTGGATCACCCGGACACCATCCACGCTTTCGACCAGCTTACACTCATGCACGCAGCAACAAGAAAATTTACGGATGCCGAGTTCGCCCTCCGCTCCGCCCTGAGAGGTTGCGAGTGTTTGTATGGCCAACACTCTGAGGAGACGCTTCGGAGAAGAGTCGAGCTTGCCGTCCTCTTCAGAGACGGAGGCAAGTTTCAAGAGGCGCAAGCGGCGTGCGAGTTGCTTCTCAGCGAATGCGAGATGTTCGAAAGCGAATTCAGATTTTCGGTGCTCAACTGCTTAGGTACAGTCCATACCCTGGCTGGCCACTTTGGCAAAGCGGAGGAAGAGTTTGCAGCGGCTCTAGCAGGTTTCAGGAAGCAAGGAGGTCAACAGTCTCCCTTGGCTCTGATTGCTCTTTACAACATGGCAACCGCTCTCCATGCCCGAGAACGACCAGATCTAGCCGAGGTCGCCTACTGCCAGGCACTCGTTGGCCTTAGACAGGTTGTGGGCCACAACCATATTGCAACCCGAGCCACCGCAGAAATGCTTGGACTCTGACTCGTGGCGCAAGGCAGAATTGCAGAAGCTGCCAACATATGTTTCGAAGCTCTGAACTTATGTAAATCTGAACCGTTTCAGCCGATTACTGAAACCCACAGAACTACAGCTGCCAACTTTGAATCCATGGCCATGTCATGCCTCCCGTCCTATAACCAGAGTCGTGAACTCTGGACGCAGGACAGCAACAGAGACAGTTTTTGCCTCAGACGAGCAACGAAACTGCGGTTCTAAAGTAGTCAGTTCTGGGTTATTTTCCCTTTCTACAGAAATTCAAGCGGATATGAGCCCCTCCGTTTCGTTCATTCCTTCGATTTATTATAAATACGGTGCGAAGCATTCTCGGTGTCCGTAAGCCAACAGTCTTTCAGCGACCACGCTCCACTAAAATACAGCGCCCCAGGCCTCTAGCTAACGCCTATATTCTTTCATACACAGTGTACGGGAGGACACCGATAACGAGGAGGGTACGACAAAACAGTCAACGAAGAAGAAGCTACACGTGCCCGCACCCACTTTGCCAGTGGGTGCGGGCACGTGTACAAGCAAGGCTCGAATTCACTACACTAATCAACCTCGTGGGCCATCCAGAAATGATCCATTTTTAATAACTACCTTTGACCGCGCCGTCGCTGCTCAAGTGTATTCTACCTCTTCTCGAAGTTACAACCAAGGATTAAAAAATGGCAAGATCGCTTGTTAACGTTTTTAATTTTCAGGAGGAGGCTTATGCCTTCGTTTTGATGGGAAGAGAAGAGGGTACATTGATAGTCCGACGGCTTTCGAAGAATTATTTGCAGCGCTGCACACTCACAATCGAGATACTCACTTTCATCCAACATAATCATACTGTCATGGAAGAAATGCTGGGTGACGTAGGAGAGATTTGTACCGAGTTGTTGAATAGATACACGCTCTTGGAGGAAGCCGATTACATAAGGAATCGGTGTGCTCGTACGGACTCGTGGCTTTATGAGCTCCCACGGAGCACCATACGAAGATGGCCTTGACACCTGTCGGCTTGCGCGTGTGCGAAAAGCAGAGCTGGACTTTGGAGGCTGGCAGCGCTCACCAAGCCCATACTGATTCCAACAGGTCTGGCCGACTACTGCGGCAGTAGCGACATGACGCAGGTCAGATTCGCCGCGTTGCCGAGGATCCGTTACCGCCCCTGACTTGTAGGCGATGTGCACGTTGTAGGCATTTCGGACCTTGTGGGGGTTGTGGCCGCCTGGCGCCCCTCGCTCGGCGTTTTGCAGCGTCCTTGGCGAGACGGTTCGCTTCGTGTCGTGTTTGCCTGCCGGAGTACTCCTTCACCAGGTCGGCGAGACTTTCTGGTTGTCCAATTGCGTGTCTCTCGCAGACCGACTCAATTCGTTCAATACAACAGGCATTAGCTGCAAGGAAAGGATGCCCTGTTTCAGCCACCTGTAGCCTCTGCACTCCCATTGCCGGTCATCGAAGTAAAATGTCCGTCTAAAAACAGATTTGCCTGCTCGTGACTGCTCGCTAGGCGACATTTTTTGCTGGCTTCGACAAACAAGCGTGTTAGCGTCGCTTGGCAGAGTTGGGACGCTCGAATATTCTAGTTCGTTCGACACTGCTGATCTGATAGGCGATGCTGCCGCAGAATGTCTTGACGATCTTGCGTCAATCGACAGTGTTCGTTTCCTTATTGTGCTGGGATCGTGGTTGGCTGGCGCATCACTTTGAGAGGTAAGCGGTGTTGGGCAGGCAGGCAACAGCGGTTAGCGTACGCTTCGTGCATCACAGCCACGGGAGCTTGCCTTCTCCGTGGCGACAGCGGCTTCGGCTCATCTGCCAGTGTGAACATGCTGAGGACCAGTAGCTAACTGATAAGATGATTGAGATGTTGAACACACAAAGTTTTGTGCAAAGGACGAGTCAATGAAGATCTGGACACGCGAGGCGAGTGGCTGCGTTCCATGGGCAGCTTTGAGCCAGGCGTCAATGGGGCGGGAAGCCACTGCCCAGGCCCACGGTCGAATTGAGTAGTCGGCGTTCGCATTTTGCGCGGCAGAAGGCGCCGCTGATGCCGGTCCGGCACCGTACCCTGGTAGCCAGCGTTCGATGCATGTGCCAGAAGCTGATGGCAGAAAGCTGCTGCGCATGCCCATCCAGCACCAGACACACCTAAACGACGTAGTATTGTATGAGTTGGTGCGGGTGAGAAAGCCGCTACTCATGCTAAGAGTGGAATCGCAGCAGGGGTTGGCAACATGCAAAGCCAAAAAAAAAAATTCCTTCTCTTTTAAAGCAGCCGGCGTTGGTACGCGCAGCGGAAAGCCGCTACTGATGCAAGCCCAGCACGAGGCACGAAGTATTACGGGTTGGTGGGGAGCGGAATACCTACCACACTAGGGGTCCTGTACCAGGTCGTTCGCAGCACACGTCAGGGTGTGGTACAGGCACATCGCTATGGCTCGAGGCGCATGGGCGGTAGGTGTCACAATATGCTCCGAAAGGACGTCCCTCGCAGGGGACATTGGTACAGCGGAGATCAGCTTCGGGCGGAGCTTCTCATGCCAAGTTCGGCGTAGAGCATCCCTCGCCTCGCCCGGACAACATTATGGGTTTCGACTACATTCTACAGTAGGACCAGGTTTTCATGTAATTATTGCGTACGAAGGAAGGAAGGTGGCGACCAAAGAGGTATCATGACACGTAGATTGATGTTCGTCGACCTCAGCAATCTCTTTTTGCAAAAAGAAAGGAAACATACTGATATTCAGAGTGCGAGGTGGATTTCGCGAAGACGCAAGCGCAAAATGGGATGACTTGTCCTTTCGATTGCGAGGCAAATCCACAACAGACGGACTAAATTGGGACTCAAGTCTAAGAGTAGTTCGAGCGATGGTACAATTTACAATTGCCATAGGACGTTTCGACGATTGACAAGCAAATAGTCACGGTAGGGTTCCAACGTACCATGAAACCGCAGCCACGATGAGGTTGACTAGCGATGCCTCGGTCGCCGTAGGTAGGCCTCCGAACATGGAAAATAGTTATCGATAATCAACAAAGCGAATGCGGCTGGGTAGGGGTAGAAAGCCAAAGCAAGTGGACCAAGAGGATTGCCAGAATAGAAGCGAAAAGAACATATTTAGGCATAGTCAGTGAGCCCTATTAGCCGGCGGCCAACGGGCGCAATAAATCATAAATGAACACGGGTACTGTGGTGGAAAGCCTCGAAAGGTCGTCTATAAGCGAATTCGGACACACGCGGGATTCAAAATTGAGCGCAGTTTTGCTCACAAGTGTACGACAAGTTCAACGACGACTAAAGGTTGTGATGATAGACCATTGAACTGAATTCTTTGCACTGATCACGAAAACATGCTTTCGTAGAAATCCTGCCGTTGGACGTAGGCAATTTGTGCGCTTTGTACTAAAGTACGAGGTCGCCTGTCTATCGTTCTACATATTTCCTGGGACCAAAGAGTCTTGCTGTGCTGCCTAAAGCTTAGCTCGAATAGGCAGCCCGATGTCCGTCGCCTTGCGCGATTTGAGCTAGGTCTTGATTAGTGATATGTGCGAGCATTTGGCGCGGAATATACGAGTGCATTCAGATCTGGAAAACTCATGCCAGCTGGGCAATGCGCGCCAAGGCGCCAGGAACCCGTGGATGGATCCTCATACAGGGAAAGCGCGCGGACATCACCGAGTTGGCCTAGCCGCAAAGTCTTTGCCTGCATAGAAGGATTTAGTTTGCGAACTGATTCTTTCTGTTTCTTGTCGCAACGCACGCCAGGGGGTGATGGGCAGCGAAAAGTTGCTGCTCATGCCAGGACAGGGGCAGGCGTTCGCAGCGCACGCCAGCGCGCACACCAGAGGGGGTGTTGGGCAGTCGAAAGTGTAGTAGGCGGGGCTGAGACCGTGGGCGCAGAAAGCCGCGACTGATACCGATCCTAGTAGTGGACACTGGCGACGTTTACTGGACAGTAATGGCAAGTCGTTCGCGATTGATTGACAAGCACTTGTCAATCAGTTACGGCTTAGCCCCCGCAGCGCATGGTACAGACTAAGTCGTTTGCAATCAATTTGACAAGCACTTGTAAGTCAGTTATCACTTGGCCCCGGCGACCGGGATGCATTTGGTGCAGAGCAAGCCATTTGCA